GCATCATCCAGGTGGATGCTGCACACTGGTGGTGGATGAGGAGATACCCCCTGACAATGTAAAGTGCTTTGAGTGCCTAGAAAAGCCCTATATAAATGCAATGAATTATTATTATTATTATTAAAAAAAAAGATGGCATATACTTTCATCAATCAAATTACAAAACACACATTTCAAATCAATATCTTTTAATAACCTCATTTACTAGATAAATACAATGAATAATTCTAAATGAAACCTCGCGAATCTTATTGATGACACAGTATCTCCTGGAGATCATAAAAGCCTCCTCCCAGTTAATGTCCTGGAAGCGGAATTCCAAAAACTTTTAGCTGGGGGTATCCTAAAAGGCCGACAAATCTGTTTAAGAAAATTATTATTGCATTTTTTATCAAGAATACTTATACCATCTAACTTTAAATTTAAGTCACTAGTTATATTCAAATCAAAAGCATCAGCAGCCTGCAGCAAATTAAGAAGACCAGAGGTATAGCATCAAAGAGGACCTCTTGGAGTAAATTGCCTGTTAAATTGTCAGCTTTTCACAGGCAAGTGCTTTTGGCTTGGAAGTTCACTTACAAGCACAATTTTTCTCCACACCAGTATTATATCTGGAATAATTGTAATAGTCTGTATAAACACAAGAGTATATTTATGAAAACCTGGTTTGATAAAGGGATTATTTTGGTAGGACAGTTGTTGAATTCTCAGGGGTATTTAATGACTTATGATGAATTTCTTTCATATTTTCATTTCCCTGTAACCCCAAAAGAATATGCCTCTGTAATTGGAGCTATCTCTTCTAGTATTGTGTCTTTATGTAGAGGTATTTTGGTAACACTTTACTTGAAGGGATGTGCATAAGACTGACATGACACCTTCATAATCATGACATGACACACGTCATGAATATGAAGGAGGTTTTATGCATGTTTATGACAACTGTCATTAAGTGTCATTCGCTCAGTTATGTCATTTTTAATGCAAATATGACATTATTTGACCTAACCCTAACCTAACCCTACCCTTACCCTTACCCTTACCCCTAACCATAGCCCATAACAAAGACATCTCAAACAATGTCACCTTTGCATTAAAAATTACATAACTGAGTGAATGACACTTAATGACAGTTGTCATAAACATGCATAAAAAAACCTTCATATTCATGACATGTGTAATGTCATGATTATGTAGGTGTCATGACATGATTATGAAGGTGTCATGTCAGTCGTATGCACACCCCTTCAAGTAAAGTGTAACCGTCCATACTTCACTTTGGTTTTTCCTCCTTTCAGTCATCTTAAAAAAAGTGTTGAAAATTAGCAGTCTTTCATGTTAAATTTAATCTTCACATTACAACAATAAAAAAAACATTTTATTTAAAGCATCAGCAGCAACACTAATATTAACAATAAGCAAAATAAATGTAGAAGGTCTAATGTTTTCAAATGGA